TTATAACTATCTTCGCTAACAATCAAATGCTATTGAGAATGTATACAATTTTAAATCTATCTTTTTATCTCTACGATCCCGTAGTGGATGTTTAGCTCGGATTTATCTAACGACCAATTCATCTTCGTCAAATTAAAAACTCTTATATGTTAGTGTAATCGAAGATATGAAAACCAAGCTGGTGGGGCCCCTGGTATGGTTGCAGTCTTCTTCCGATTTATAGAAGTGGGTTGACCTCATCGCAACTTGGTCTTATTGCCAGAACGACAGTAAAAATTATCTAGTACGAAGTCTGCCATAATAGTTATCATAATTCTCAGCATCAGACGGTGGGCTTGGTACATTCTCAACCGTTTCGCCGGCATCGTATTTGACATCATCAGTGAGTGCTGCCCTTCTCCGCACCAAGCTAGGAACTAATTAAGGAGACAAGTCGAGTCAAAACTTCCACTAACACTGCTGAAAACGGTTACACTATCACTACTCTTTCTGTCCTTGCCTATCTATACACTGTTTACCCACTTATCGAACTCCCGCCCTATCACAACTTCTCACTTGTTTACATTCTAATCGTCAAAATGTGCCCTTTTGTGGCAAATTTAGTATAGCCTCATCACAACTGCTATTCACCCTGACCCCCTCTCTTTCGAGCGGCTACCCCGACTCGGGTCTCCAATCCGGATTTCCTCATGGTTCCGAAGATCCTTTCCTTATCTTTTGGGTTGACTGATTTCATTCGGTTCCAGTCCCAGTATGCGTTTGACTCAAAGGCGCTATTTCTCAACTCATATAAGCATGTACACAGCCGCCTCACCGAACAGAGCGCTAGGCTCTGATTGCCATACTTGCAGATATCAGGCATTGCCTTCTCGAGTCGTCTCTTTGATTAAACTTATGTTACTTGAGCAAACTGTGGGCGTCTATCTGTGGTCGCATGCGGCATCTCAAATGGATTTCTACTACAGTTTGGTCATAACGTCTAATTTCCATGACGGTTTGCTTATCCCTCCGCCTAGCTCCCTGACTCCGAGGCCTCCGCAGTTGTACTAGTTTGCTGATCTTGCATTCTTGTTTTCTTCGAGTTTGCTTATGCATTAGGCAAAGTTATTGCTAACTCTACTTTCCTCCAATCTCCTTTTCATTAGATTTTTCTTTCTAAGGATGTCTATGGCCTCCCTAATCTTCCGCTTCCTTATGTTTTCACCGTATGAGGGCTTTCTTTCTGTTGCCTTGCAATTGATCTCGTCTCCATTCTGTGCGATGTGTTCCGCTGATTCTGATCTTTCGGTATCCATTTTCCTGCATAGCCTTTGGTGTTCCTTTATTCGTATGCTAATTTTCTCCCTGTTTCGCTAATATATTTCTGTTTTTCAAGCGTCGCATGACATACTGTACACTCCTGAACAATCCATTGTCTAACTTTTTATGTTGCGTCGGTAGACTTATAAAAAGTGTTGATTTTTCTTTCTTGGCCACCCGAATATTCCATTTCCTTAATATTGGCCGTAGTTTTTGAGTTGGTTAGCAAGGAGGTAGGGATATCCACTTTTCTGAATCCTCCATTTTTACCGTTCTTTCCTAGTTCTTGTTTTGCCATAGCCTTTTCACGGCTCGTATGGTTCTCTGTATCATTTTGCTCAAGTAGCCATTGCCGAGGAATATCCTCGTTAATTTATCGAGCTCCTCGTCCCAGAATTCTACATCTGTTAGGCGTAGGCTTCGAATGATCATGCTCCTCATTATTCCAATCTTTCGCCTGTAATTGTAATGGGACCGGAAATTGAGTATTATCCCAGCATAGGATTTCTTTCAGAATTATTTCTTTTTGAGTGTCCCATTACAGCGAATCACTTCAACATCCAGGAACGATAACCACTCATCTTTCTCTATTTTTAATCGTAAATTTAATTTTTACATCAATCTGGCTTACAAACTCTTTTAGTTTTTCTCTTCCATGTGACCAAGTGCGAAGTAATCATTCAGATACCGCATGCGCACTGCCGGTTGAAGCGGTGCGATTTTGAATTTCTCTTTTATTTTGTTCATGTATACGTTTGCTAAAAGTGGTGAGAGCGGCGATCCCATGGGAAGTCCAAATATTTGTTCATAGATGTTCCCGTTGAATGTAAAATAGGTTGTCCTTATTATAAAGTTGATTAATCTTGTTAATGACTCCTTCCTGATCTGTTGCGATTGCAGATTATCTTCCTCTCTTTTCAAGATTCCCGTCAAAGCCGTTAGCGCATTTGTATACATCGATTTCACATCAAAATTTACTAATATTTTTGTTTCTCCTATGCCTTGTTTTTTATTTTTTGAGAAAATTTATGAGTGCTTCACCGTGTTTTATAGCCGGTCATTTAATTTCTTGAGTTTCAAACATATGAACTTTGCCTATTTGGGTGTTGATTTATACTTGTTGTTGACTATCAGCTTTGGTGGCTTGCCTTCTTTGTGTATCTTAGGTAATCCGTAGGCTCTTGGTGGTTGTACATTCTTTCTTATGTCAGAAATCCTACGTCATTTCCTGTCAGTCATGATCTTGGGTTTTTGAAAGCCTTCCGGATTAATGCTGACGCTGTTTCCGAGGCATCTCCTTTGATTCCGGTGAGAAGGTGCTAAGCTTTCGTCCTTTATATAAGGACATCATCAGAGCGAGTTAACATCGTGATTCGGTCTTATACTTGGTCAAAGAGGCCAGATGTAGAGTATATATACCACTTTTTAGGGATTTGACAGGAGTTTTCTTGACTCGTTAGCTTGAATTTTGTTGTGACGATGTTTCTCTCTCTGATAATTTCCCTCATATGACGGGCGAAAGCTCAGTACCTTTCCACCGGAATCGAAGGAGATTGCCTCGGAAACAGCATCAGCATGAATCTTCAAGTAAAGCCAATCGACAGCTGGTCAAGAGGAATCCGCCGTCGTCTTCTAGTGGAACCGACCTTCGAATCCCTTCACCCAACACTTGTATTCGAAATGGAAGTAAGCTCAACAATTATGAAACAAGAGATTCCTCGAAACCCAACTTTTATATGCACTTATATCTATAAACTTAAACAGCATATTCCTGTCTGTAACATAAGTCTGGCTTAATTTCTGAATAGCAGCCTGGTGGAGATAGTCATTAACCTTATCTAAGTAGTAGGGTCTCTTAAAGTCACATAACTTAGGAGTGATACCACAACGTTACAACAGTATAAAAAAGTCAGATAGGAAGATTGACTTACAATTGTCTTCTTTGTCTAGCTGTATTCAGTGCATTGTGTGGAAATTCTATTACCGTAGTTTAATCGAAGATATGAAGCACAAGATGGTGTGGTGGAAATTGGAGGAAGGTAGAGTAAGAGATAACTTTGTCTACTGTCTAAGCAAACTCAGGAAAAACAAGAATACAGTAAGACCAGCAAAAATGATACGCCTGGATCAAGAATCTATCGCTAAACGGAGGTAAAGGGGTTGCGATGAGAAAAGGGGGGGCGAGAAGTTTTGGAATTTAGGCGCAGACGTCGTCAGTGGATGCTGTCCGTTTCAAATAAACCAGCACAGCTGTGGGGGCCTCGCAGTCAGAAAGCTAGGCGGACAGATAAACCAACCGTCACAGAAATTTTACCTTAAGGCCATGCTGTACTACAAATCCACTTGAGATGCGTCATTCGACCACAGATAGGCGTCCACAGTTTGCTCAGGTAACATTGGTTTAATCAAGGAGACGACCCGAGAAGGCAATGCCTGATATCTGCAAGCATGGCAATCAGAGCTTAGGCGCTCTGCTCGGTGAGGCGGCTGTGTACGTGCTTCTATGAGTTCAGAAATTGTGCCTTTGAGTAAAACTTATACTGGGACTGGAACCGAGTGAAATCAGTCAAACAGAAAGCTAAGGAACGGATCTTCGAGACCATGAGAAAATCCGGATTGGAGGTTCGAGTCGGATTAGCTGATCGAAAGAGAGGGGGTCGGGGTGAATAGCAGGTGTAATGGGGCTATACTAGATTTGCCATAAAAGGACACATTTTGACGATTGGAATGTAAACAAGTGAGAAGTTTTGATAGGCTTGGAGTTTGATAAAAGGGTAAAGAGTAGATTGATAGGCAAGGACAGAAAGAGGAATGATAGCGTAAACGTTTTCGGCAGAACGTTGGTTGAAAGATTAACTTCACTTATCTCTTTGACGAGTTCGTTACTTAATGCGGAGAATGGCAGCACTCACTGATGATGCCAAATACGATGCCGGCGAAACGTCTGAGAATATACTAGGTCCACTTTCTTATGCTGAGAATTATGATCAATAGTAATGCAGAGGACTTCGTATTAGGTGCGTTCTATTAAGTCGCCCTGACAACAAGACCAAATTGCGACAATGAGGTCAACCCATTTCTGATACGTCGGTTTTCTGCTTGCATTGGGTTGATCTATAAAGGTTTTCTACTTCTACTCTGATCTAACATGCACTATTCCACTATTTCTATATGTTTTTTATAATTTAGGGCAATTTACCTTGCACTAAATTGCCATTTACCTGCGCTCGGTTAGGCATTTTATCGAAGATCATTTTACTCTTTTTTCTTCCATTTTTGTTTTACTTCGCTATTTTTTAGACCTACGCAGTTGTCTACAGTTGTGTTGAGACATGCCGCAGTGTATTTCGCTTAAATGCCGAGGGCAACAAAGAGGAAGAGGTGATTCAGCGTCCAACCACTTGTGTTCTACCTCAACTCTGTCAATATACACTTCAACTCTACTCTCCCTCCAGGTCGGCTCGGGAGCCTCACGGCTGGGACCCAATTCCCAATGCTCTGTACGCAGCTTCGTGTAAATTCGTGGATCTGGTCGGACTATTCTTTCAGCCCTTATGGGCTGATAGAGTATATAGTTCCTAATATAGTATCACTTTTTTGTTTTCTTATTCCTTAGG